GCCTCGCGTGAAAAGAGGAGAAGGATCGAGATCACGGGCGAGGGGGATGAGAAAGGAGGGAAGGGAAGAGGATGTTAATATTTATAAAACGGCTAAGGATAAAACATGCATTGTATATCTGTCCATCTGATTAATTTTTGCACATTTCCATTCTTGATCTTTTTTCTTTCCCCTTCTATTCTCCAATCTTCTTTCCCCTCTCTTCCGCGTTTGTCTACCTTCGTGTTCTTCTTCTTTTCCCTATGAACTTTCCATTCATTCACGTTTAACAGTAACCTAACGCACGGGACGAGTGCTTGAGTTCATATTTAATCATTTTTACATTCCCTCTTTCTTTCGCCGAACTTACATATTATTTAATCGATCTTTCTTTTTTTTCGTTTTTTTTTTTTCATCCATTTGTTATCCATATCCTCTCTTTAATGGAATCGTTTATAAATATCCAATGATTATTTGGGCTCTCATTTAATATTTGTTATTATTATTATTATTTTTTTTTGTTTCCTTTACTTCCTCGCTTAATTTATTTACACATTAACTAATTACGCTTGGGACTTAAGTTAAACCGCCTCACGCATCCGCCATCACGATAATAGTCACTGTAATATCCACTACTTACTAATAACTTGTCTTATCTAGTGTATTCTTTTCTGTTTTCACATCGATCGTCTCGGTCGCCTCTCGTTCTTTTTTTTTTTAACCTCTCTTTCTCATCATTTCCTCATGCACACACAATTCTCTCTTTCGCACTTTTCTTCACCGCATTTCTCTTTTTTTTCATTTTTTTTTTCCCATTTACATTACAACGTGTTCAACATGTACAAAGCCCTATTTACATTATGTACACCTCATTTCGAGATTTTTCCAATGATAATGTTTCTCGCTCTCTTTCTCACACACTCCCTCTCCCCTTTCGCACGCAACAAATCCTCAAACCGGTGCGTTCTCTTTTCCTTTTCTTTTTTTCAATGTGGCCCGCCGGTTACGCCGGTTACGTTGTCAATGCAAGAAAAAAAAAAATATATATATATATATATA